AAACCCTAAATCCTAAATCCTGAACTTTTAGGGTTCCTGGGTTTATGTCTGTCCTTCCTCTGCTCTCTGAGAGGAGCTGCGGAAAGAGCTGTCGCCGCATGCGGCGCGTCTGCAGCCCCTAGCAGAGGTCCGGATACTAGGGGGTTGTGTGTATGGGGGGGTTTAGGGTTTAGGGGGATTATTAGCATTATCATTCTTGTTATTGTTCTTATTGTTATTGGCATTCTTAGTGTTATTTCAGTACTTATTTCCATTATGATCATTATTATGGTTATTTCTGTTTACTGCAATTTTTTTCTTGTTGGTATTTGGTCTGGTATTGCCATTCTAGATGCCATTACTATGGGTTTGCATCGATATGGCAATAATAATGCTGATCATTGAAGTTTGTTTGTCTGCAGAGGGGGGTGGGCTTGGCTTTTGGCAGGGTGGCTCGTGAAGTTTTGGATTGAGGGTGTGATGCTTAGGGTTTCTTGGGCGCTGGGAGGGGTCATGGACATCTTGATTAGGGTTTCAGTCAGCATTAGCTCCAGTCACGTACGTTGCGAATGTCAGCTGACGCGAGACCCGGCAGCATCTACAGCTAGTAGCCCTTCCCTGACCCTAAACCCTAAACCCTTTAGAGGACCCTCCAGGGAAGCGCAGTTAAGGCCCCAAGACCCTAAACCGTAAACCCTTACGGATCAGCCCGGGAGCCCTGGAACTCGAGACAGGCATTCCTGTCGAACGGCACCCCTGGAGAGGTCTGGCTTAGGGGCTCCCTAAACCCTAAACCCCAAACCCCTAAACCCCCTAAAAACCCTAAACCCCCTAAACCCTACACCCTACACCCTAAACCCTAAGCTCTAAACCCTAAACCCTAAACCCTAAGCTCTAAACCCTAAACCCTAATCCCTAAACCCTATACCCTAAACCCGGGGGCTCTTTGGTTTCGACTTTGAGGGCTTTTGGGTTTTGGGTCCTGGGGGTGTGTGGGTTGATGGATATTTCAGGTTGGGAGCTTGGGCTTAGGGTTTAGGGTTTAGGGTTTAGGGTTGAGAGCTTGGG